ACTGGCCAGCCCAAGCTGTAGATTTTTTAAGCTACATAAAAGAAATGAATGAGCTTTCCTTGCCTTCATTCCAGAGGCTGTTGCTGCCAGAATCGCCATGTAAACAAGTCCTAGTGTGTCACCTGGTAAAAAGCCAATAATATCCTACATTAAAACTAACCTATAAGAAAAGTCTACCTAGTTACAAAGGCTGAATTATATTGACAATATATTTCAATCCAAAGAATTTTAAATTATATCTTTGAGAGAACATGGGACAACAAGAGCCCATGGCTAACGAAAATGTAACAACTGTGAGTGTTGTATACAAAAAAAAAAAAACAAAAAACCCTGAACTGCACAGACAATAATGAATGAGGGAGAGAAAATCAGAGAGAAGTGAAAAGCACATAGAGCTAATCTACTAAACTATATTTGTCAAATACATGTGAGCTTTAATCTCTGTACTTATGTACAACAAGAGTTGTCTTTGGAGGAAACAAAACTGCAGACTTAGCTAGATGGATACACACAGCCCAGAATTAAACTGCACAGCGACATTTATTGTTCCAGCCTGGAAAAACATCCCTTTTTTAAATTTCACACAGCAAAGCAAGTTAAAAACTTCACTCATCAAATAAATGATAATTTAAACAAGAACTTGCTAAAGAAACCTCATCACAACAATGTTTTAGGGCCTGATCACTTTAAGTCCATGGGGCCATTAATGAATATCAACCAAGTGTCTCTTTTATAATCTGCAAGCCGTTTTTCCTACAACAAGAAGGCGTAACATGTTTCCTTGACTCAGGTGATACATTTAGAAAAGAAATCATGATTTGTTTCTTTTGCTGTAACGGGCAGACACTGCATTTCTTGTTGTGATCAGGAAAGATGGAACGATTGCTGCCCTTCTCTTGCTGCTATCAACAGTTTTTCACGCATTATCTCAATGCTCGAATAGTCTGGCAACTTAAGATAGTTCACACAAGTCATTACAGAGGGCAAGAAGTCATCTGGGTTTTCTGTTGATTCAAAAGTCTTCCGGACAATTGTCAAAGGTGGATTCAGACTCCGGAATCCTGATTAAGAGACAAAAAAGAAAGATGAAGAAATTTAATTTTTTAAAAAAGTGTTAATACTAAAAATGCTTTGCTGTACAATATCATCACATACACAAGATATTCTTTCTTGCTTGGCAACTACATATTCAATATACATTCAGTATATGAAACTGACTTTTAAAATTTTATTTATC